AAAAAAAAAAAAAAAATTAAAAATCAAAAAAGTATATATATATATAAAAATCAGGCCCTTGCCTGATCCCCCTGCCCCACCTTATTCCCTTGGCAACAGACACATGACAAAAAAAAAAAATGTAATCCCAGCACTTTGGGAGGCTAAGGCAGGTGGGTCACCTGAGATCAGGAGTTTGAGACCAGCCTGACCAACACGGTGAAACCCCATCTGTACTAAAAATACAAAATTAGCTGGACATGGTGGTGCGCGCCTGTAATCTCAGCTACTCAGGAGGCTGAGGCAGGAGAATCGCTTGAATCCGGGAGGCGGAGGTTGCAGTGAGCCGAGATCGTGCCATTGCACTCCAGCCTGGGCAACAAGAGCAAAACTCCGTCTCAAAAACAAAAAAAAAGGAAGAAGGAGAGAGAGAAAAAAAGAGAAAGAGAAAGAAGGAGGGAGAGAGAGAGAGAAAGAAAATAAATAAAGAACTGAGCTGGGTGTAAGCCACTGTCTTCAACCTTTGCAGTATTGCAGGCTCCCTGACAGAAGTTCTGAGCTGGGACTGTAGACACAATGTGTCTTGTCTTACCACTATAGTAAGGTGACAAGAGCAGGAGGACCTGGGACTTGGTGTATTTGGGGCCTCCCTGGGTTGGTCACAGCTCTTTCCAGCTCATTCTTCTTGTAGGCCACCCTGAATTTGCCAGACTCTGGCCTATGGTGAGGAAGCCATCCTGTGTGCTGGCACCCACACGCCAGTTCCTTGGGAGTCAGTTTTCTGACCCCTGATGTTATGTCCCAGCTGGAATCTGAAGACAGGGCTGCTCAGTTGGGTTCTCAGGAGCCTGGTGAAGATATCAGGTCCAATGGGGCCTATGACCTTGAACTCCATTTTTTCAGGGCTGTCAATATCAGGAGGAGCATAGGTTGTCATTAGGTGAAGTTGCCCAAGATGGTTGCCTAGAAGGAGTTTAGGGGGTTGGATCCTGGGGTCCAGGCCACACATGGAGGCTGCAGAGAGTGGAACTTGGGAAGCCAGTGCTGGAAAGGTGGGGGACTCCAGAGGGAGGAGGGAGGGGTGCTCCAGAAAAGGTGATGGGTTGGAGTAATCCATAGGAATCCCTGGGGTGTCCACATAAGTGTCATCTCCTGGCATGGGCAAGTGGTGAGTGGCATTTGGACCCAGGACCCCTCCCTGACTTTGGTTCACCCTGCAAGTAAGGCTGTGGGCTGACCTGTGGCCAGGTGGTCTCAGCTGGACCACGAGGGCTGTGTGCTTAGAAGGCCCCAGTAACAGTGACAAAATCCACTCAGGACATGCTGAAGGTGATAAGGTGATGGCTGGGCTCACAGAAAAAGAGGTGGGGGCCTTCCTGGGCTAGGAAGGCTGAGTCGTCTCCTAGTGGGTATCTCTGAGGAGTGGACCAGACCACAGGAGCCCCAAAAGATCCAAATTATTTGTGTTCAATCCCCAGCCTTCACATCAACCCTGCTCCCTCCACCCCAAGGTTCCTAGTAGGCCCTAAGTATCTGTACCAGGCCCTGGCATGCAGTAGGTGCTCAGGACATATTTCAAAATAAAGGAATGAGCTATGCCTGCTCACTGGGTTCCAATGACCACCACCTATTTGGTGTTCCCGGAGCTGAGTGTCAGGCTGCTTATTCTTCTGCCTCTAACATCCCCAGCAGCCCTTCCCCGAAACTCATTGGCTGCAGGCCTCAGCCATCATCTGGTACCAGAAAGGCCTTGGGCTTTGGAGTTAGAAACGGTGGGTTAGGGCAGAGATTCTCAAAGCTCAGTCCCATCAGAGCCACCTGAAGGGTTTGTTAAAACTGTAGTAGCTGGCTGGGTGCAGTGGCTCACGTCTGTAATCCCAGCACTTTGGGAGGCCGAGGTAGGCAGATCACAAGGTCAGGAGTTCGAGACCAGCCTGGCCAATATAGTGAAAGCTCGTCTCTACTAAAAAACACAAAAATTAGCTGGGTGTGGTGGCACGTGCCTGTAGTTCTAGCTACTCAGGAGGCTGAGGCAGGAGAATCACTGGACCCTGGGAGGTGGAGGTTGCAGTGAGCCGAGATGGAGCCACTGCACTCCAGCCTGGGCGACAGAGTGAGACTCCGTCTCGAAACAAACAAACAAACAAACAAACTCTAGCAGCTGAGCCCTACCCAGGAGTTTCTGATTCATTATGTTGGGGCAGAGCCAAACTTACATGCTCCCAAGTTCCTAACTTATGCTGATGCTATTGGTGTGGGTGCCAAATTTTGGGGGATGAACATGTTTAGACACACCTGGAACAGACTCTTGGTGTCCACAGCTGGTATCTGCCTCTGATGTGCCTGGGGCTTTCTGAGCTCACTCTACAAGTTGGTCAGAAGTGCCAGGAATTAACTCTTCCCCAACAACCCTCCAAGGGACTGAGAGGGGGTTGCTGTATATCTACTCACCTTCCTCCTGCCTCGGGTGGAACTTCTCTGAGACATGCATTCTGCACTGCAGCCCATCTGAGTTCCCCATCCACATCCTGGGGGAACCAGGCATCCCCGGTGGAACCCTGCTTATGACCCACTTTATAGCGGCTGTCTTCCCTCCCTGTATTTTTGTAACTTGTTCTTTGTATCCTCTTTTATTTACTTATTTATTTTTGAGACAGGGTCTTGCTCTGTCGCCCAGACTGAGTGCAGTGGCATGCTCATGGCTTACTGCAGTCTTGACCTCCTAGGCTCAAGCAATCCTCCCACCCCAGCCTCCCTAATAGCTGGGACTGCAGGTGTGTGCCACTATGCCAGGCTATTTTTATTTTTATTTTTTATTTTTGAGACAGACTCTCGCTCTGTCACCTAGGCTGGGTGCAGTGGCATGATCTCGGCTCTCTGCAACCTCTGCCTCCCAGGTGCAAGCGATCCTCCTGCCTCAGCCTCCCAAGTAGCTGGGATTACAGGTGCACACCACAATGCCTGGTTAATCTTTGTATTTTTAGTAGAAATGGGGTTTCATTCACCATTTTGGCCAAGCTGATCTCAAACTCCTGACCTCAAGTGATCCAGCCATCTCGGCCTCCCAGAGTGCTGGGATTACAGGCCTGAGCCACTGCGCCCAGCCTAAGTTTTGTATTTTTTATAGACAGGATTTCCCCATGTTGCCCAGGCTGGTTTCGAACTCCTGGGCTGAGGTAATCTGTAAGCCTGGTCTCCCAAAGTGTTGGGATTACAGGCGTGAGCCACCATGCTTGGCTTGTATCCTCTTATAAACTTCCTATGCTACAATGTTTGTCTCAAGGTTTTCTGAAGTGGGAACTCAAACTAAGACAATGTCTCTGCCTCTTGTTTGTCTATGACTATGGTCAGTTCACACCACTGCACTTGATCTTAACCAAAAGGCCGGGAAACGACAGGTTCGTGCCATTGTTCTGGGCCTCCATTCATTCTTCTGTGAAGTGGAGAGAAGTCCACCAACATTCTCATTGACTTGCAGTAACAGCACAATGGGTGTGAGCATTGTAGAGCAGGGACTCACTGGGGCTCTGGGATTATGGAGGAGGAAACTCATTTCTTTTTTTTTTGATGGAGTTTCACTCTTGTCACCCAGGCTGGAGTGCAATGGTGTGATCTCAGCTCACTGCAAGCTCTGCCTCCTGAGTTCAAGCGAGTCTCTTGCCTTAGCCTCTCAAGTAGCTGTGATTCCAAGCACATGCCACCACGCCTGGCTAATTTTTGTATTTTTAGTAGAGACGGGGCTTCACCATGTTGGCCAGGCTCGTCTCAAACTCCTGACCTTGAGTGATCTGCCAGCCTTGGCCTCCCAAACTGCTGGGATTACAGGTGTGAGCCACCGCACCTGGCCTAATAACATTTTTTATTGGGAAAATTTACATAACCTAAAATTCACCATTTTAACCATTTTAAAGGATACAGTACAATGGCTTTTTGTATATTCACGATGTTATGCAACCATCACCACTACCTATTTGGAAAACATTTGACATTTTTAGTTGTTGCAACTAAAGAGGTATGGTGCTCCTGACACCTAGTGGGCGGAGACCAGAACTGCTGTTAAACATCCCACCAGAAAGAATTACCTGGGTGTGGGGTTGCTGGTAATCCCAACACTTTGGGAGGCAGGGGTGGGAGAATCACTTGTGACCAAGAGTTCAAGACCAGCCTGGGCAAAAAAGTGAGACTCCATCTTTACAAAAAATACAAAAAATTAGCCGGGCGTGGCAACGTGGGCCCGTGGGCCCAGCTACTCGGGAAGCTGAGCTGGGAGGATCGCTTGAGCCTGGGAAGGGGAGGTTGTAGTGAGCCATGATTGCACCACTGCACACCAGCCTGGGTAACATAGCAAGATCCTGCCTCAAAAAAAAAAAAAAAAAGAAAGAAAGAAAGAAAAAGAAAAAAAGAATAGTCTGCACCAAAATGTTAACAGCAGAGGTTGAGAAGCTTGCTGTACACAATGAAAACACCATCACCACACCAACAGTAATTCAGCAGTATCAACCTGACTTGTTCCAAGAATGCCGTTTTACCATGTTCTTTTTTTGTGTTTTTTTTTTGTTTGTTTGTTTGTTTGTTTTGTTTTGTTTTTTTGAGACGGAATTTCACTCTTGTTGCCCAGGCTGGAGTGCAATGGCGCGATCTCGGCTCACCGCAATCTCTGCCTCCCGGGTTCAAGCAATTCTCCTGCCTCAGCCTCCCGAGTAGCTGGGATTACAGGCATATGCCACCACATCCAGCTAATTTTGTATTTTTGGTAGAGATGGGATTTCTCCATGTTGATCAGGCTGGTCTCAAACTCCCGACCTCAGGTGATCCGCCCACTTCAGCCTCCCAAAGTGCTGAGATTACAGGCGTGAGCCATCACGCCCAGCCCATTTTAGCATTCTTATTTTAGTCCAGGAGCCAAACAAGTTTCATGAATTGGATTTAGTTATGTCTCTCTATTGTCTTTTAATATAGAAGAGTATCATCTGCCCCACACTCAGCCTGTTTGTTTTTCATGTCTTTGATTTTCTTTTTAGGAGTTCAGGCCAGGCCAGTTTTCTAGTATCATATTCTGGATTTACCTGATTGCTTCTTCAAGATTGGATCCATGGTAAATACTTTTATCAAGAATACTACATTGGTGATTTTTGCAT